AAAAAGGCGGAGGTACACTAGGATGGGCATTTCTGACTCGTTAGGCGTCGTCGGCATGTGATACCCGCCTCGAGTGTTGCCACAGAAAAAATAAAAAGAAGAATAAAATAAATGTTACTGTAATATAGTAAGTAACATTATAACATTAAATGCCTTGCAGCGTAGGTTCACTTGTGTGTGAACTCCATAAATCATCAAGCGGGGCGGGCGCATCCTGTAACTGATCTGTGTACGCTTATCAGCTAATAAAATATACTCTTATTTCCCTCGACCAGCAAATGTCCGAGTACTATGGTTTGACTCAGACGAAGACCAGCGAAGCGAAGCGATGTCACAGTCATAGTTATCTTTCGTTTTTATCTTAAGGAGAACTTATGAATGCTGCAGCAAGTGTGTGCAGTACAAATAGTGTGGGTACGCGCGTGACATAATTCACCATCTAGAAAGATGCTCGCAAATAATACTTTCATTGATTTGCTTCGGGGCGACTGGGGTAAAGTAAGGCGCAAATTGAGATCTTTGTCGTTGTTCATGTGTTATGTACGGGTGGCCAGTTTGAACGAATCAAGGAATCAACGAATAAAATTCTAACAATTGGCTTAATCCACTGCCTAGACAACAGATAATGGGAAATAGCTGACGTTCTACGCAAGGAGCATACCAGTTCCTGTGAAAATTCGAATTATTCATAATTACTTGTCGGCAAATAATAGAAAAAAGAGACCTCAATATGAGCATTGCAGGTTTCCTACCAGTTTGGCTTAGGCCATGGAACCAAAATATTCGTTAGTAAAAGCGAAACACAGCGAAGTGGAAGTCATGTTGGGTGCTTTTAAGAAATCGAAGTCTAGTCTTCTCATACCTGTAGGCATTATGCAGCCGAACGCAGCGCATCGTGCCCAAATAAATTGCCAATACGAGCAAACATGTGAGTCCCAGCAAGTACTTGCAAAGAAGACAACTCAATCGCTGAGGCCTGACCTGGCGAATTCATTATGCCTAAGCGGCAAAAAAATCACCAACGTCATCGAGAGCGCCTGTGTCCCATCAATGCTAAAAAACTGATTAACGGAAAACAAAGAAATGCAGAGGGCTGCGCGTACTGCTGGCAACCCCTTCGAAGCTGGACAAACCGATTGTCCTTGTGTAATTCAAGGACCCATCGATATAGAATTTGCTGTTTGGAAGGAAATGCTTGATCTCTGTGGGATCTGCCATCGCCACGGCATAATTCCGCTGCGCGCCTGATCGAAGCACAAACTGCTTCTAAATGACGCCTTCCGGTCCGGAGAATGGAGCATGCATGCA